ACTTCGTCAATTTTACGAATTCGGAAAAATCCTTCGACAGTTATACTTGTGCAAATGTCTACTTTCAGAAAATGTAAAAAAAAAATCGATTTTTTTAAAAAGTCTAGACTAGAATACCCCCTTCATCCGATATATACAAAATATTTAAATCTGATATGATATCTATCGTATTATTTTTTTCACATGCTATTTATCGTATTACTTTTACGTAACAAAATACTAACGTTAAATCCATGTTTACAGATGGGTACCACGTCTTATCCAAGTATGACTCAGCCATTTTCTATGTCGCATTCTGCGTCGAATATGTCTGCAGTTACTGGTATGAGACAAGATGCAATGGGTAAGTTTATACAAACTTTGATTACGTTAATTTAAGATAATTCTGTACCTGAGAGCCAGACAGACTCAAGTCCTGTATTGTAATTTTACTACAGCACAAAGAGACACCAGCGTTGTACTTGAAGTTAATTCGAGCAGTTAAATCTTTTTTTGTTTATTTATTGTGTAGCGTAAATAGCTCTAATCAGGCAAAGAAAGAGCAGTGAGATGGTGTACGTAACTCGATTCTGAAAAAAACAAACAAACAAATGGAGTTGAGTTAGTCTGGCTCTGAGGTACAGAATTATTATACCTAATTTAGAGTTTTATTCGATCTACTATTTTACTAAGTTACAGTATAATTTTGTTAAGTTTTATTTCATAGAATTTTGATAACTTCGTTCAAGAAATATACAAATATAGATCGTCAGTTTTTGAAATAATACCTTTCATTAAACAAAGAAGTTTGCGGGTGTGTAACAATATGTTTGCTTTTATGAATAAAATGCTAGATTACTTTTTACGGCAGTTATTATAGTAAATTATAAACCGCCATGGAACATCAAATAAATGGACATCAACAGATTAGAACCATTGCGGTATTTTGTTTTAAACTTATTAAAGATTATTGCTTCGTTTAAGTTTTTTCTTATGAGTGATCTGCAATAGATAAATAATACGAATAATATACAAGTCTTCCTGGTTATCCAGTGTTAGTTTTCATCTACTATGCTGTAATTTCTACAATTTCATTTCGCGGACACAAATTGCCACATCCGAAATTAACATACAAAAATTGACCACTTCTATTTATTTGGTCAGTATTTCTTTTTAACTAATGGTAAGTATTTTTTAAAATAAACAATCAGTAAAAATGAATATTTTGGTCAGGATAAATAATTAATTGTCAGTATCAAATCGCATTTCGTCGGTACAATTTTTTCTCGCAATGTTTTTTGGTCGACAAAATTCAAATTTTTGGTTATGTTGAGATATTTTATTACACACACCGACCATCCATTTAAAATACTGACAAATTGTATTTACTAACATTTTAATGACAATACCGATCACTTATGTCAAATACATACTGATGTTTTATTTTGAATACCGATCGTTTATCTAAAACACTGATTAAAACTTTTTCAAAATACCGACCGAGTAAATAGCAGGCAAAATTGGCGTGGTTCAATGGTACTGTATAAAACGAAAGAAAATAGTATTATCGACGTATAACAGATACCTTTCGTAAGTTCCCCTTCACAACGATCCGTACTACTCGAAGCAGATAGAGATTTTTGTGAAAATAAGAACGTCCCTGTGTACACGTGTTTTCTTCTGACCTTTCCTATATAGTTATTTCAGGCGTTGGTCCAAGATTATTAAATGATTTCGTAAAATGCTGGACCGGAAATGACGGGAATCGGACGTCGGTAGAAACGTTCCTTCGTTCAGTCCAAGATGTTCTCTCCATTTCCGCTCCAGCGCCGTCTTATACCATTTCCGGTGCAAGATGGAATATCGCTTTTAAATCGAATCAAGATTATTCACGAATTGCCTGTCTGTTGGTATTCGTGTTCAAGTCTTCGTTCACCGTAGCACTTGGACTAATATCTCTGGTTCTTGGAACGATTTAACGTTTTAATACGATAGCAAATCGGCCAATTATCAGCAATGATGAACCTCCTGGAAAAGTCGTTAAATCGACTCGCTGGATTGCTTTTCTAAGAGAAAAGAAATTTAGTTTCATTCATCGAGCTGTTTCCGACGGAAAAGGATGGATGGATATCGTAGTTTTGCTCCTTTTTTCTTCTTCTTCTTCTTTAGGCTAAATTAAACACATATTTATAAGTAACTGTTGAACCTCTTTTTAAGATTGAAAATCATATATGTACATATATGTGTATTCTACAGGGTGTCTCGGGTTTTAATGACCAAACGTTGTCAGTATATTCTACGGGTCGAAATAAAAAGAAAATGTTATACAAACGTAGGTCTGTTGGAGCTTCGTTAAAAAGTTACGGCGGTAATACGAAATGAAGGAAACAGTAGCAGACACACGGTTGCTGCGATGTAATACAGAAACAGATCATCAATATTTGCGCGATATTTACAAGATCGCGTAATGAATTGATACGAAAAATCAACGACGCATTTACTGAAATGATACAAAATAATAACGAAATTCGCAGAGTAGTAGAAAGCATTTTATAACCTATAAATGAGCTAGATATCTATGTAATGGCAAATACTTATTTTAATGTAACTTAGCAATCTTACTACAATGGTTAATACAAGTGAGGCCAAGGTATAAATCTATGGATGTACCATTAGCTAGCTAAAGTTAAATCAATATATCATGATATATTACACTTACAGGTCTTTAGATAGGGATAAATGAACCATAAGTGTAGGCCTAAACTCTAGAAATCTAAGCATTAACTAAACGTATGAGGTATTTATTAATATATAAGGCTTACCTAATACTTAAGATTTTAGGTGTAATTTATTAATTAATAAATAATTC